CCCTTTTAGCGTCGTTATTATTATTTTTTTTTTCTGTTTGTTTATTTTTTTCAATTTTTATTTTCATTCATATTTTATGGAATATTATTTAAAATTCTGTTATAAAACGAACGAACGAATGATTGAATAAATAAATACCTTGTCCGACTAATCAATGAAGCACCTTTCCGTCCGTTCGTTTGGTTGTTTGTTTGTTTGGTTGTTTGTTTGTTTTGCTGTTCGTTTGGTTGTTCGTTTGTTTGTCTGTGTGCCCGTACGAATGTTTATTTAATTTTATTTCGTCCGTTGCTATTACATTCACTTTGCTGTCTGTCTATCTATTTCGAAAATTTTCTTCTCGTTTAATTGTAACCTAATCTTTTGGATATATATATATTTGAACAGTCTACGAAATAATGAAGAAAAAAAAGTGTTTTAAATGTAATTAAGTAGAGTATTATGACTTACCTATATGGAATGCAGTTTTTTTGGTAGTTTTTTGGTAGTTTTTGTTAGCGAAGATAAAGACCGCTTGGTTGACGTAAAGTTATTGAATGAATACAAATATTTGACCCAGCACTTACAATTTACTCCATCCATTCATCTATCCATTCATCCATCTATCGTATCCTATTCATCCACCCGTTTATCCATCCATCCATCCAATCTTTTCTTGATGTATTTCAGACATTTTTTGTGCTGTTCTTTTTTAAGTTTTCAACGTACTTCAGCTAATCCTCACACCAATCGTATCCATCACTTAATGTTCTTCCTCTTTTCTCATTTTATATATATATATATATATATATATACATACAAATATACATATATATATATATATATATATGCGACTGCTCCATCTCTCTCGAGAATGTATATATATACCGATTATATATATATATATATATATTATTTATTTGTTGTTTTTGTTGATGAAAAATTATATTATTTATAATTATATATTGACATGTGCACAGTCACACACAGACCTACTTGTTTGTGATTTTCGTTAGTTTTTTTTTATTAGTTTGTTTTTGATTTTGCCTCTTTATTTAACATTGAATTTGCTAACAACTATCCATTCATATGTTCATTCATTTGTTCATTCATTTGTTCATTCATTTGTTCATTCATCTGTTCATTCATTCATTCATTTAATTTTTTTCTCCAATTATTCAGTCAATCTTGCAGAAGACCAACTAATTAAGCATAATTATTTAGAATAATTAACGTAACTAATAACTTCGTGGCATTTGCAGCAGGAGCATGTGTGTGTGTGTGTGTGTGTGTGTGTGTGTGTGTGTGTGTGTGTGTGTGTGTGTGTGTGTGTGTGGACTTATGTTTTTTTGTTGCGTCCGATCATCATCTTCGTCGCTATCGACGTTGTTGTCTTTTTTTTATAGTAGCTTTCGTTTTAATCCTTAATCACTTTTGACTTACAATTCAAAATAACAGGATAACATTTTGTTTGTGAGATAACAGCCGCAACACTACAATAGCCACAACAATTCATTCTACTGCCCTTTTTTTCTTTGTACCATATCAACCCATCTTCATCTTTTAGAAGAAAACTCACTCATTTCTTTAATCATCTTTGAGAAGATATTTTCTTTATTATTTCAATCCTTCAATCTTAATAATTACTAATAATAATTTTTAATAATTTCAATCTTTGAGAAGATATTTTCTTTATTATTTCAATCCTTCTATAGCTGTCTTTATCTTTGAGATGAAATTCTTATTTCCATCATTAATTTTATCTCCAATACGTTGGTCATTAGTGGAAAAGATTGTCATTGAGATTGCCGATTCATTTGACATGTGGCGGCTTTGATGACGTCACTGACA